ACACACACACACACACATATATATATACACACACGCATATATATATATATCTATATATACACACACACACACACACAGCTAAGTTACAGTAACATCATGAAAGTAATTCAAATATTAATTCTATCTTATTATTGCCTACTCTCTTTGAATAAAATAGTCTTTATAATAAATCTTAAGTTACTAACCAACTATACAAAAGTAAATGTAACATACATTTTGGGATAAATACTAGGAAAACAACATAAAAATAGGAGCTAAAGTTTAGAAAACACTTTACTTGCAGTAGACTGTTTTCTATTCATAAAAACTAAAATGCTTTAGGGTATTCACTAGAAAGCCTGAAAGAGCATAACAAAGAATTTATTACTGAATAAGCAATATCTAGAGTTTACTATGATGAAGAGTTAAACACCTATAATGCCAAAACTCATAAGTCTGGTTAATATTTTTTGAGTTGTGTATCTTTCTCCCTCAAGTAAACCTTATCTATTACATTACTGACTTGTTGATTAGTTCCATTCTGTGGTAGCAAAGGCAGGTTTCAGAGTTTTTCTAAGCTGTGAGTAGTTCCTGCCTACTCCAGCAGGTGTCACCATTAGTTCTGTATTGCCAACAACCATGTGTATCATGGTTGTTAGCTATCAATGATCATGACAGTAGCCCGCTGCTGGAAAACTAACAGGGAACAAGATTTTGGGAAAATCTTGTAAGTCGATGACACTTACCTCCTTTCTGTTTCTGTACATTCTAGAAAAAAGAAAAGAGATGAAGACCATAATGTTTTACTTCACACATGAAAACTGGTTGCCATTTAGAGCTGTTACCCTAAATGGTAAAAACAGTTTCCAAGAGAAGTTGAAACATTAAAAAATGTTGTTCTTTGTAACAGTTTAGAGTAAAACTTGCATAGAAGGTGAATGCACTATACTCATAAAGTTTTGTTTTTATTTATGCTCATATGTCCAAGTTCATACAAGATAAAAACATGCAAGTGTAAATCTGAAATATTCAAATTGAAACATCTTTAAATAAGTAGTATTCAATGTTTATTTATCACAATAAATGTAAAATAATTTTAGATGACCACTTTAGGCTTATATATAAAACCAGATAACTATATCTAAATGAAGGAGTATGTGTATGTCAACATACAGGACAACCAGAATATATGAATGCAAATAAAAGATTACTCTTCAGCCTTTTGTCAAGAAGGCAGGAGGTATCAAGGTATTAAAAACTCAGCAAAAGTAGGGCCTTTGCAGAGTTAACAATGTAACATTTATCAAAATCTTTTAAATTATACATCAGATTATAAAACCCAGTTTATTATTACATTTTTACCAATATATGGAGATAGTTCAAGATATAGGATCCTCAGAAAAACATCCTAGAAAATAATCATCCTGTGAAAATTTAGGAATAAGAATAACTTGTTATTTTCTACAGGATTTTTAATGAAAAAATTATTTTCTGAATTAAGAAAATTGAATAAATGCATCTATATCTAAAATATAAATCAATTTAATTTAGGTTTCTCTTCTGTTATTATGTCATCAGCAATTTAAATGAATATTATTATAGAATATTCAAATATCATTGTCAAAATATAATATCCCATACAGCCTCATAAATCATCATGGCATTCAGAGTTTGTGAAACCAAATAACAATACAAAACCAGAAAGTAAAAAGTTGTACAGAAAGTGTGGAAAATGTACTCAATTACCTTTCCATTAGAAATTCAGTATATCAATTTTAAAAAGAACAATGCAAAGCTCTGCTTAATTATTGCACATTTTGATAAATTCATAATAAATCCGGATAAAATCTTCAAGCAAAATATTGGTACATCTCTGACAGCTCATTATTGTACTGCAAATTGTATTACTTTGTATTTAGATTTGTAACGACCACTTTCAGCTTAAAGGATTTAAATTTATACTTTTAGATATATACATTATTCATCTGGCAATAATAAAACACGACAAAACTTATCAAGTTACTTGTAGTGTTGTAACAGGTAGATGCATTTGTAACGGAACAAACTAAAAGACAAGAAAATGTTGCATATTATTTAGACTGCAGCATTACACTTTACAATACAGATCTATGAAATTAAATACACTTCACAAAAGAGCTTCTCTTTCCTATTAATTCAAATGTTGTACCAATCCAAAGGAGTAGTTTAATTACTTTTAATATAAATATTGCACTGTACAGAAACTGTTTTTGGTAATGCTTTCTATTTTTCGAGGGGTGTGGTGGAGATAAAGATTGAAATTTTATGGGTTCAGTAATAAAAAAATCATTACATACATTACTCACTTTTGTGCAATAGCCTATCAGATTATTATTTATGAATGATTTCCTAATACGTTTTAAAAGGTATTGTTTTTGCTACATAACTATATTTTGACTATTCTTTGCAATCATATGCAACAAACTTGAACAAAAGGTACAACTGTTGATGTAACCTTTTTTAGACAAGTTGTTTGTTTAGGAATTTCACAGAAAGCTCAAAAAGGGCTATCTGCACACAGCTGTTCCTAATTTTCAATTAATAGAATAAGGGGAAAGCAGTTAATTAGCACCACCCACTGCCAAATATCACTGATTGGTCAAGAAACTTTTTCAAAATATTAGAATGTAAGTAAGAGAGGATCTGTTGTTTAACAATATTTTTGCAAAGCTACATAAGGGATATCTCCACATAGCCATTCCTAATTTTAAACTGACAGACTAATGGGAAGGCATCTAATCCACATCATCAACTTCCAACTCTTGTATAACTAATAAGTGTGATTTGACCATCATACTTATAAGAGTACCTACCTACAGCCATTAAGTCATACTTAGCACCCAGGTGAGAATCAGTTAGTCAAATTCAAAAAGTCTAAGTTTGTCAAAATGTATATTGAAATTTATTCAGTGAGTTACTGTTTTAGCATTTAAAGACTGTACAGAATTAGCTACCATACAAAAAAATGGCTTTGAAACATAGTGAGATTGTAACAGATAAAATCATAGTTACTTTGAGATAAATTACCTTTCTTAGAACTTGAAAATTTTTTAGCTACAGCAGTTCTTCTGTTAATTATAAATATTTTGAATAAATAAGTTGTTGCAAATCAACTATTTGTATTTCTTTAATAAATCAAGTTTTTATTTTTTTAAATAATTTTGGAGTCATCATAAATCCTAAAAAAAATCAGTTGGCAGCCTAGTATATAAAATTATACCACAAGGAATTCCTTTTTAATTTTGAATAGCAAACAAAATTACAAATCATTGGATTCCACACTTAAAAATTAGTAGATTTACACTACAATTTGAATTACTTATTTAATAATTAATGAAAAACAATTAATAATTGTACTTATGAATTGACATTTCACACCACACAGTCACACAAACTTTCTAATTGAAGCAATACAAGTAAGTCTAATTAAATCGCTTTACCTGGTAACCTGTGACAAGGAAAGATAAAATGTAATCATAATAAAATTTAATTGAAAACCTATATGTACAAGTTTGCAATATATTAATAAATTAAATGAAAACTCTGTCAACAATCCAATGTTAAAAACATGTGTAACATTATGTATTTACCTACAAAAGTAAAGGAGAGATTTTGTATTCTTATTGGTTTTAAAACATAAATACCATGAGTGAAAAATGCATACCAGTAATAAACTCTACTCTTTCTACATCATATCTTGCAATAATTGTTATATTGTAGCTTCATGTTATGGATTTTAGGCCTACTATTTGTCATGCACTAAAGTTCTTTCGATATAACCACCTACTACACTATAACATAAAGCACACTGTTGTTAAACCAAAGTACTGTCTGCTTACAGTTCTGATTCATTCTTTTTTTTTTTTTTTTGACATGCTATTGGTTGGTTTTGTGCAGACGTGTATATCAACTTATGAATGATCAAATAAGGACCTCAAAGTTCATTATATGCCTTGATTTATTCAAATTAAATAACCAATAGGTATTCATTAATGGTTTAAAACTTTTGTTTGTGTTTTCAAATAGAAAATACTTCTGGATAAGAAAAAAAAAAAATCCCAGACATATCAATGTCTTATTTGCCAAGCACCCATCAGGGTTTGCAGTCGGTACCAGTGGTACTCGCCATCCAGTACCAGTACAGGGCCATCAGTACCGGTACTGGTTTACAGTATATCATACGTTGAGAATAATATCTGTTATTAATATCACATGTCCCATCTTCAGAGTTTTGACCGAACACCTCCTATAGTATTTCAGCTTCACTTTTCACAGAATTATAATATTTGATTTAGTAGTTTTGAGTTCATACTTCAGTCAGTAAGCAAACCTCACGGTGAAAAGCAGCAATAGCATGAAATATGGGAAAGTGGTGACTCCCACTCTCGGGAAGAGAACATGAATGTGCCTATGTGACTGATTTCATGTTAGGTAGGTGCATTCGTGATTAACCCATAGCATGCTAGCAGGTCAAACTGCACGTTATGTTTTTGTAAGTTACATTAAAAATGTTTTTTTAATTAAACTATTTTATTATAATGGTATTCAAACAAACTTGACATCAAACCATAGATAATAAATCAAATTTTAATATTATATAAGTTTTCAGTTCTTAATTGTATAAGGAAATATTTACAAACAGCCTCCAATTCTCCTAGTGTGAGAATTTGGATATTTGTTCTTGAGCTATCTTCGCTTCTGAATTTTTTTGTCCACCCCCTAGAAAACTGCGAAATGTAATGTAAAATATTCTCTATAATATTCTGAAGCTATATTTCTATATTCTTCAATCTTATTGGGCTAAAGAGCAATCAAAAAACCACTTTCCACACCTACCTCTGACATGCTCCAATTTACAATTTGTTAATAAATTTTTCTGAGTGCAGCTCCCACTAAATTTATAACCAATAGAAAGCTTAGATTTCAACTGATTCATTGCCATAGTCATCATACCATGTGGGCTTACAGATAATTCGAAATTTGGTTGGATGAGAAAATCAATTTTCTCACAAGAACACACAAAGAAGAATAGTTGAATTTCTAACTGCTGAAGTTACATGATTAGAGATGCTCGAGTAACGATACAGTGCGACATGGTCGGTAACAGTAGCCTGGTATCGCTGGAACTATTGCAAACCCTGGCACCCACTCACCAATGCCCTGCTTTTGGTGCTGACATTCGCTAACTGGTTGCTACCAAATGACGAAAGAATGTTTAGCAATCATGGTGATCATTATATAGTTGATTTACAAAATAGTAGGAGTACAGTTGTCTTCAAATAAACAGTGCAAACTCAGCACATATTAGTACTGTAGACTTTTTTCATCTGTGGTTTGCTGTACAATAACTTAGTATTTTGATTATGAAAGATTTATATATTCACATTATGAATAAATATTCATACACTTCCATGGCCAAGAACTATAATTATGCAGGAATCCCTGATAACACTAAATTAGCTGTCAAATTAATTGTGTTGTTTTGTGACTTTTAAAAACAGGCCAGTTTGTTGCATGTTAGGCTGCTTAATAAATACACCAAATCTGAAACATATACCTAATTGGTCAATTTTTTCAAGCAGTTTCTAGGGCACATGTGCTTGCAATTGACCATGAATGGGAAGTGACAATTAAAAAGTAAAAGTTTAAAGCAAGTTAAGAAGAACTTACTTTAGCTTATCCTTGTTTATTTTGTATTAATTAGTTAACCTGAACTGATTAATACATTTCTAACTGGAAGGCCTTTCACAAACAGCATACCCTTGTCAGTGTTATGTTGAAGTGTTCCACCTTTAAATACCTCCACCTTCTCTGTGAAAGCCTCATGTATGAGATTATATATATTTTGTTTTATACATCGAAAAGTACAGACAAAGAAATGTAAACGGAATATATCTTTAATTGAATCCTGTATCAAAGTAACTTTTATACAAATCTTCTCAGATAATAATTTAGGTGAAGCAAGACTGTTTTTTCAATGTTTTTTATGCATTTGTTTAGTGAAATGTTTATCAAGAATACTAATTTTAATTTTCAATTTCAAATTTTACTAATCTGTTGGATTTACAGCAAAAGTCCAGAAACATCTTTAGCTTTTCTGTGAATTAATATACCTATCTATTCAATATCATGGTCATATCTTATACAAAAAAAATCATAATTATTCAATTATGATGAAATAAGGTAGTACTTGTGTATGGAAGCACATTATGCACATTATGCAAGTTGGCAAACAATAATATAGAAATGAAGCAAAATAAAACTTCATTATGCTTACATCATTGTTTGTTTAATTACTATTAAACAAGGCCATAGCAAGGATGTATTAAACCTACTAATCAACCATTAACGAGATTCTAAATTGACTTTAGAACTCGAGTTCAATTTCAATTAGTGCAATTGAAATAAAAAAAATCCATCTATTATGGTACCTTTTTTTTCTCACAAAGAAAAAAAGAAGCCCAATGATTGTGTATTTATGTAGAAAACATCCATACAAATCTAGGTACTACCTAGTTTTATTTGAATGTTTTCTTTGTGTAATTGTGCAGCTGTTTTGAAATTGTTGAACTATGAAACATATTTCTGTACTGTATGGTCCACAAACAATCCTTTACTTGTCACCAGTTCAAACAAAATTGTTTGTGGAAAATCAAATAAATTTAAAATTGTTTCTGTTTTCAAGAAAATGTTTCATTACAATGTCTAATTTTTTATATAAAAGCACAAGATTTATTTATTTTATTACTTAGACAGTTTTAATTAGTTTTACTAACATTGCTCAGTTATGATTACATAACAAACATATTAAAAATTGTTTACGTTTATGTACTGTTAAAACTTCAAAGGCATATGTCTGTAAGTTTTCACAAAAGAGCAAAAACTTACCAATTTACCTTCACATTGATAAGGACTCCATGAGGCAGGCCTTATGCCACAATAAGTTACGAGTGTTAGAGTAGTAAATTGAGTTTATTAATACAATTAATCTGTAAGGACATCTGTTAGTATCAATGAATAATTAAAATTGTTTAAATAAGTAAAATTGTTAAAACACCAAGACCACGTATCAGGTTGTTTTATAGCTTAGGCTCTATGAAACAGTTTCTAGTGTATAAACAAAAACAGGTTAGTTATAATAATGTTCTTAAACTGGGCATGTTTTAACATATAGTAGCTCATTAGGGCATATATACGTAGTTAAGTGAACATTTAAATGGCAAAATTAAAACATTTTTCTAATAATCTTAGAAATATTAAAAATTAAACACAATAGAAAGCAAACCTGTCTGTGACGCTTCCCTTCTAAGTGAGCTTTCATCATTACTTCAGAGTTCATAGAACAATTACAAGTCTGTAAAGTAAAACAATGTCACTGTGTCTTAAAATTTTAAAATACTTAAAAGCTTCTAAAATAGAAATACTTTATAAAAGTTTAGTTTACAGCATAAAGAAAACTGGCAATATGTACAACTATATAATTTGCATTATACCTATATCAATTTTCATAAAAGTTGTTTGTGAAAACACTGAAATCTAGTCTTTCTTTAAAATTTAGAAAAATAATTATCCTTTTCCCATATCAGTAATTAGTAGCACACTTTTATGGTCAGTTTCATTAATAATATTTGTTATAATGTTTCAAAATTTTATTATTATTTCAGTTTTCGTACTTACAAAGACTATTTTGCACTCTTGATATTATCTAGATTTAGGACTAAATTTCAAATTGCTAATACAGTTGACTGTCAATTATCCATGGGCAGGTTATCTGGTTTGCAAATTAACTGTGCTGTGATCCAGGAATCCCACAAGTTGTTACATTTCAGTGTAGCTATGAACTGCTTTGTTACAGTTCCTATTTATTTTGTTCATCATTCGTTTCATTCTTCTTTTTCTTCCTTTCAATTTTACCTTTCATTTAGTCATTTTTTAGTACTGTATGTAATGTTTATTGAATATAAGCAAATTTAAGTTAGTTTACCAATTTAAATTATTTCGTGGACTTTGAAAAGATTAACTGTGTTTCACTCTTGGTTTCTCTCAGAGCCAAAACTCTGAACTACTTATGCCACCCACTGTGAAAAGCAATTGCTTAGCATTTCAGTCATGCTAAGAGCCACTCAACAATAACATATGTAAATTTAGATATTTAATCTCTAAGTTATATCACATTTTGAAATGTGAATGATAGTGTGATTAATTCCTAACAATTTAGTGTAGAATATTCTGCTTGTGAAATAAAATTTGGTATCAACATTATTCATGCCTGTTCTCCCATCATTACGAAAATGAATGTTAAGCTTTGCCTGTGCACACAGCTTTTCAATTGGGAGACAGACGAACATTCGAACAGATGCCATGGTTAGCAGTATGTATACAAGATTGAGAACATAATATAAACATAAAGTCAAATTATAAACAAATTGTGCTGACAATGGAACATAAACCAGAGATTATTAAAAATAGTGAACAAGGTTCAACAGTGAAATATATTGCAGTTGTATTCAATATTGGCAAACAAACTGTATAAAATATAAACACAAACAAGGAAAAAATAAATAAATTTATTAATAATGCTGACAGTGTGAGTGATTTACCTAAATGCAAAACCATGAAGCCAGATATATAATGACAAGTTGGACCAGGTTTTGGTTGAATGATTTAACCAGCAAAGGGCAGCTGAATCACCCGAGTCTTGTCTCATCTAAATAGGCCAAATTATTATGAAAGGTGATATCAATGCATCATCTAGTTGGCTGACAAAATTCAACCAATGGCACAGAATAGGAGAGATAAGCATCCAAGGATGAGAGGTTGACTTGGAATGAGGAAGTGGTGAAAGAGTATTAATAACACTTTGAGAACTTTCTGAAAGAAAGATTTGAAGCCAGAAGAAATTTACCATGCAGATAAAATCAGACTTCTGGAAGTGTCTACCAACAAATACATTGACTTTTGAACAAGAACATCAAGTTTCAGGTCATAAATCATGCAAAGGACATTTAACAGTTTTGTGCTGTGACAATGCAGCACACATGCACAAGTTAAAGCTGTGTGTCATAGGTGATGCAAAGAAACCACATTCTTTAATTGGACTGAAGCATCAAGTTTTCCTGTCAATTATTTCAACAAAAAATGCATGCACAAGCAACACAACTTTTAAAATGTTTTGAAAAAAAATTTCATACTCCCAGGTCGGAATCCACTTAAAATTGCTTTAGTCTGCCAGATGCAGAAGTGCTTCTACTCATCTTTTTCCTCCTCACCCAAACAAAGTGGTTTGAAAATCTGATGAGGGAAGATATTTGTGAAGTATCTGCTGCCTAATGAAACGTCCTTGATACAACCAATGCACCAAGATGTCATACACTGCATGAAGCTTTTGTTTGTTCTTGTAAAAAGCATGTTTTTCACCAAGTTCTGAAATGATTAACATGCAATCTGTCTCCACAGTTATTTAATAAGCTTAAAATCTTATTCAACAAATTATTAAAAACTTTATTCATTTATACTATAATACATTTTCTCTTCATTATACTCGGTTAATTCTACCTCTTTTTCAGTCTAGGCTGGCCATGATAAGGGCTTGAAAATGTTTTTCCTCCTTTTAGTTAAGATTTTCTAATTGCAGTGACTTCTTTCAGATTTAACTTTAGAAAATAATGACATGAGGTTCCATGTTTTCATAATTTTCTAATCATAGCTATCTATGATTTAAATTTACAATGCATCTTGAATTAATCTTCATATTATCAAGTTCAAATGTTAAAAAGGATAGGACTTTATGTATTTCCAAAACATTATATTTTTAGCAATCACTACTAGATGCTTGCTAAAAATAAAAGAGTATAGAAAGTTAACATTTTCCTGAATTTAAAATGTATTTCCAATAATACTTACCTCCCCTAATACTTATAACTTTTACTCAACTGCCAAGGTTTCTTCCTTTTCCCATCTAAGCATTAGTCTGATTTTTTATTGCTTGCTCCACTCTATTATACCCCACTCAATTGCCTTTAGCAATATTTATCTCAATATGCCCTCTATCCTAGTACTGAATATAAGCACCTCATTCACAAAATGTTATCACTTTTATGAGACTGACCCAATCCCAGTCTCTAATGATAGTTCTTAGTGGGGTGGAAGAGAGGAAGAGTGTGAAAGGAGGTAAGTATTATTGGATATACATTTTCAATTTAGTAAAATGTTAACTTCCAAAACATACTTACCTCTGCTCCAACGTATAGGTAGAATTCCACATTGAAAAGGTGGAGTAGCCAGTGAGGGCATTATCCATACAGAAAGTGTCTGCATAGATCATGAGTGTGTCAATAGAAGATTGGCATCCTAGTGGTGGAACTGCATCCAGAATAGGTATGCTCTTCACCTGGATCTTAATTCCTGTACTGTGGGTGAAATTTTACCTGATAGTCAAGGTTCCATTACTCGGGGTTGGAATTAAAGGGCCATGGTCTCTATATCCCACAGTCCCTATGTATAAAGTGATGTGTTCCAAGCCACCAGAATCACAATGAGAAGGAAAGCAACACCAAAGTGAACAAACCTTTTCCTCAACCTGTAGAAGTTTGAAAACAAACACCCCAGGATTGGAATGACAGGATCATGTATGCCTTACTCAACCTAAAGAAACATATCTCATCCAGTATGGAATTATGAACACTTATCCTCACTCCCCAACTGTGTGGGCAAGGTAAATTCCACTTGCCCCAGGATTTATAGGAAGGACGTGGAACAACAGTGCTCAACAAAGGGCCCACTATGTGTGCGGAATTATGAGGATACAGTGGACCCTCTTCTATGAACAATGTACTGAATCAAGGTTAATATAAAAAGAAGGGCCATGCTCAATCCAACCGGATAGCTGAGTGTCAAATCTGAACCAGTATTATGAGCAGTCTCCTGCGTAGGCTGCTGCTACCACTTCTACCAACATCTGGGAAAAAACATCCGGGGACCCGGGTAGAAGGACCCCCAACTTTACCCTCTTCTGCAAGAGTGGAAATATTCATTCTAGCACTCTGGAGGGAAAATCTCTTTCCATCACTACAGTTACTGGAAACTAGCTATGGTAAGGACTACCTAGCTCCACTAGTAGAATGTGGGGGATAATGAGCATTGGGGAGCCCTTAGGAACAGTGCAATAGGTGATCCAAGTTCTCTAAATTTTTAAAAGTAAACTGACCCCAAGTTATGCAATCCAATGATCAGCAGAAACAAGCAGGATCCCCTTATGCTTTACTCATGATAGTCCATGAGTGGCAGTCCAGCAAATTACAGTAATACCACCCGGTCAGTTTCTAGGTGGTCTTATGGAATACCTCATTTCTACAGAGCTTGTTGCAACCTAAATAAAGTATATTGAGTTTGTGGTTGTTAGTGCAGAAATGGTTTGATAAAAGCACACTTATCTGAGCAACACTAGCAATAGATTGGGATCCTGTGAAAACAAGGTAAGGGACCCTGAAAGGTAGCAATAAAAATACTCATCCCTCATATAATGTAGCAGAATAGGGTAAGATAGCTATAGGGAGTAGACAAAAATCATCAGATGAAGAGACTGTCAGATCATGCAAATAATGTAAGATAAAAGTATTAGGGTAGATCCAGATACCAGTCCACACAATGATGTCCAGTGGACAATTGAACCAGGCCACTAAGCACATAGAAATGTAACAAATCTGATTAGACGTGACTCGCAAAAGGTTTCTTGCCTTCAAAGAGAGCCCAGAAGAAAAAATCATTGTCTAGTATCTCTAAAAGCATTAATGCAAGCAACAAAACCCTCATTGAACATGACCATGATCGAAATCTGATCGGATACAGAAGTGAGAAATAGTGATCAGATGAATTTGTGAGAAGGATTTAACCCCATTCCTGTCTGACAGTGTCTTGGGTAAGAAGAACTGGTCTGAGGATATAGAGAGAATGAGAAAACAGTTTGTGGACAAACAGTACAAATCACTCCGACTGGTAATGTCTGGAGGTCACCAGCCACAAAAAATAAACCTTTAGGAAAAAGGGGATACATGGCATATAAGAGACGAGGTCACAAACAGGTGTTGAGAAAGAGCATGTAATGTAACCGTAATATACCTCTTAGGTAACTGGAATTGTCATTTGGGCCCAAGGACCCAAAGTGACTTGAATAATCTGGAGAGTACTGGGGACTAAAAAAATATGTAGTCACAATAATCAAATGGTAGTCAATAAGGCCATCTTCAAAAGGACGATTAAGCAAAAACTGATACAGATATATGGCAACCTTAGAAATTAAACCTCAATGGCGTGCGAAAGACTGCATAACTTCTATGCCTGAAGCTTGAATTCTAGATAGCTGGATGTACCATATTTAATCATGGCTGCCTCCACAGATATAGTCTAAGAAGAAGTGGATGAGGTGGACACTCTGGAACATACTGCAGAAGCAGAAACCAGGGTGTAGTAGCCAATCTGGTGCTAACAACAGGACCTGTCAATGGGTTGGAACAAGTCATATTTAGTACCCTGGGTAACAATGAAGTGGAGAGAAGGCTCAGAGTTGTACTCCAGTCCTGTCTTGAGGAAATGCTTCTATTGCCAAAACCTGAAAATGAGTTACTGGAAACCAAACTGCCTGTAGTTGGGTGATCCAATGAGAGGCTAACCCACCAATCAGAGTTGCAAAATGAAAGACAATCCAACAGAACCTTCCAATGCAGCATCTATTCTCTCGGGAGCACTCATTTGGATTGAGACAATTGACCTGCTATAACAGGCATAACTCGTGGAACATGGGAATCTAGTAGGGTGATAAGATGGGAATGGTCCCTGAGAAAGGAGGTTGAAAAGTCAAAAACAAGGAGCCCTGGACCAAGTGCCTCCTCGAAGAGAAACATAAAACACCACCACGGAATTGTCAGAGTGAAGTTTGATGATTTTCTCCTTAATAAGCCCAGACCATGAGCCATTGCCTGTTCAAGAAGGA